AAAAAAAAAAATAAAAGAAGAAGAATTCTATTGCATCAGCCCATGCTTTCAATAGGCATACATGCTAACAACTCCCAAAGGCATAATTCTAACCCACAACACTCCCACCCAAGGTTGAGGCAGCAAAACATCTCCACTAAAGATTTCATGAGTACCTCCAACTGAATGCACCCAGAACTGGGCTCATCTCCTGCCAAATCTCCTCCTCCAATGTTCTATATTTGAGCAACATTCACCACTATCTGTACAGTTTCTCAAGTTTCTGCTCTCTCTTAGTACTCCAGACTATTAATAACCAGGTCCTATAAAATCTAAGCTTTCATCCTTGTTCCCACTTCCTTAATCCACAGTACCCCTGAACTGTTAGAATAGTTTTCTTACTGGCTACTCTGGATGCAGTCTTACTTTCCTTTAATCTTGCTTCTGCATTGCCATCAGAGTAGTAGAGGCTGAGAGTAGGTATATGGAAATTTGCCCCTTTCCTCTTTAAATTTGTATTTAAAGTTCTCCTTTACAAAATAAACTCTAAATCCCTTAGCATAACATACAAAGCAGTACAACATGCTGCTAAAGAGTGGGGCTCTAGGCAGATGTGCATTAAAATCCCCATTCCACCAGTATTAGTAGTATGATTGTGGGTTAACCTTGGTTTATTCATTTGTAATATGGGGATGATAATAAAATAACGTCTACCTCATAGGAGGGTCAAATGGGACAAAATGAGTACAGCTCAGTGCCGGGTACTTAGTGCCTAATAAGTGTTATATATTATATAATAATATAATTTTTTAATAATAATCTGGGCTATAACTATCACTTTCAGCCTCATTTCCTCCCCCTTGCACTTTATGCAGTTGCAAATCGCAACTACTCTGAATTCTCTGTGTTCTCTATTCTTTTTATGTTTCAATGCCTTTGCACACAGCTCATTCATATTGAAACTTCTTCCACCGACACATTTATTCCCCTGGCAAACTTGACTCGTCCTTCAGAGCTCAGTTTGATTTCTACCTTCTGTGTCTTGACTTCCATGGGCAGAATTAGGTCCTATTCCTAGGAGTCCACAGCAGTACAGGTTTCTGTCATCACAATCATCCCACTGAATTTCAGTTGCCTATTTTCCTGGGATTCTTCCATTTAATTCTCTCATGTGAAGATTTGGAATGAAAACATTATGTTTCTCATCCTTGTTTTCCAGTACCGAGGAGTGGAGAATGTTCTTAATAAATTTTCATTTAATGAATGATTTAATCATCACGAATTCTGT